ATCCGGTAGTTTCTGTTGTCTTCCCCTACAGCTGTTCCCCTCTAACGTTTTTCCAAGCAACTCTTCTTTTTTTGACCACAGCAGCCTCTCAAAAAAGGAAGCGGCACATTAAGCGTAGGGCTCACGAGCTTTCAAACTCTGCAATTATGCCGTGACCCGATAGGATTCAGAGCTAGTTAAAAGCAGCATTGCCTGTTGAGCCTCTGAATCACGTAATGTGGCATGATTTGATCTCCAACTGCATTTTTTATTTTTTTTATTTTTTTGTCATTTAAATAATGAGTCAAGGCCTTTATTTTCGGGCAGATAAATCTACTCACAGCCGTCATGCAATAACAGTCAAACATCCCGTAAGTGAGCTGAATGCCACAATCTATACACCTCATTGCTGATGTGATCAGCAATTCTACATGCCATACATGCCATTAATGGAGGTCTGTAGTGCTTTCACAGTCACCTGCTAGTGGAGAAAGCAAGATCTGTGCATTACCTCTACAATAATGTAAATACTGAGCAATAGAATAGGAATGGAATAGAGAATAGAATAGAATAGAAAATAGAATAGAAAATAATGGAATGGAATAGAGAATAGAATCTGGAAGGGACCTTGGAGGTCTTCTAGTCCAGCCCCCTGCTCAAGCAGGAGAACCTATGCCGTCTCAGACAGGTGACTGTCTAGCCTCTTTTTAAAAATCTCCAGTGATGGAGCACCCACGATTTCTGGAGGCAAGCTGTTCCACTGGTTAATTGTCTTCACTGTAGGAAGTTTCTCCTTAATTCCAGGATGCTTCTCTTTGATCAGTTTCCAACCATTGTTTCTCGTCCTTCCCTCTGATGAATAACGTGACCCCCTTCTTCTTTGTGGCAGCCCTCAAATACTGGAATATTGCTATCATGTCTCCCCTATTTCTTCTTTTCTTTAGACTCGCCAGACCCAAGTCCCGCAGTGGTTCTTCCTATGTTTTAATCTCCAGGCCTTTGATCATCTTACTTGCTCTTCTCTGAATTTTTTCCAAACTCTCGATATCTTTTTTGTGTTATGGTGACCAAAATTGGCTGCAGTATTCCAGGTGTGGTCTTACTAGGGTTTTATAAAGCGGTACTAATACTTCGTGTGATCTTGATTCTATGCCTCGCCTCTGTTTATACAACCCAGGATTGTATTAGCTTTTTTGGTTGCTGCTGCACACTGCTGGCTCAGAGTCAAGTGATCGTCCACTAGGACTCCAAGGTCCCTCTCACAGTTACTGTTTTTAAGCCGGGTCTCACCCATTCTGTACTTGTACCTTTGATTTTTTCTGCCTAAATGTAAAACTTTGCTTTTCTCCACATTGACACTCATTTGGTTGGATAGGGCCCATTGTTCAAGTTTGTCAAGATCTTTTTGGATCCGGAGTTTGTCCTCTGGGGTGTTGGCTACTCCTGCTGGTTTGGTGTCATCTGCGAATTTGATGAGTTCCCCTTCAATTCCCTCATCTAAGTCATTAACAGAATAACAGAGTTGGAAGGGACCTTGGAGGTCTTCTAGTCCAACCCCTTGCTCAAGGTATACCATTCCAGACAAGTGGCTGTCCATTCCTTCTTAAAAGCCTCCAATTCTCTCCATTGGAAGAGAATTCCTTCATACTATATACTGTAAGGATTATGTAGTGGCTACGAGTATATGTATATGTAGTGGCTGTGATATCCTCACAAAGAAGAGGGGGTCAACTTATTTTCCAAAGCACCAGAAGACAAGAAACAATGGATAGAAACTAATCAAGGAGAGAAGCAACCTGGAATTAAGGATAAACTTCCTAATAGTGAGAACAATTAACCAGTGGAACAACTGGCCTCCAGAAGTTGTGAGTGCTCCGTCACTGGAGGTTTTTCAGAAGAGACAGCCACTTGTCTGAAATAGTATAGGGTCTTTTGCTTGAGCAAGCAATTGGACTAGAAGACCTCCAAGGTCTCTTCCAGCTCTACTCTGATTAATTATGATTTAACTATCTAATTGAATTCGTTCCAATAAGCCATAGCATAATATATGAATTAAATGCTTGAGAAAAATGGAAATATAAATTAGATCCTTGAGAAAGATGGAAAAATAAAGTGATGGATAGAGACAGGGCTCACGCATATTAACTGGGCTTGTGTCTAAGTCAAAAGAAAAACGTTCCGAATATAAAATAATAAATCACTTTATTAAAAATAATCACTTGAGTTCAACTGCAAAACAATTCTATGATTATGTTAAGTAATCGTACATCTAAAAAAATAAATCTCTCTTAACACGTTGGAATATAGCTTCTCAAAGTCAACAATTTCCATTTTTGCTGTCAAAGATCAACAGTTATTATTTGCAATGCGGGTCATTAAACCCTTTGATTTCAAAGCTTCGTTATTTCGGTGTGGATTTACACGCAACATATGCATAGCTCATAAAAATTTTCCCAGATGCATTCGTGACATATTTTTTTTTTAAAAAAAAAGGTGAAAAAAATCAACTATCGTGAAGAAAAAGCCCCAATTAGCTTACCATGTAAAACAAGCTCTGGTTATTCTCTACGTGAACAAAGGGATTAAAACGAAACCCACAAAGATGTCGGAGGAACAACAGTTGACGCGCACACACACACCCCCCAACACAACTCTTCGCCTGTTTTTTAATCGGTGGGGTTTTCTTTAGTTCAGATCTCGCCACAAGGAAGAAGAGCTGCGTTAGATCCTCTTCAAATTATGCCGCTTATAAATAACTGTAAAATAAAGTGGGGCAGATCAGGGAAACGTTCCACAAAAAAGAAATTAAAACTTTTTTTAAAAAAAAATTGGCAACCATCCAGGAGCTTAAACCCCCCCCCCCTCCTAAAGCTATCTGGCCTTGCTAAGTGGAAAGGAAGTGAGTTTGAGTGAGTTTAGCAGCCTTCTGAATTCAAAATGTCAGTTTCTGGTTCCCCCAAGTGTCAGCAGAAGTTGTAAATCTACCCCTTTGGGCTGAACTGCAAGTGTACTGTTCAACAAACACAAAGCCAAACGAAAACAGAGCAGCTTCCCCAGCAAACAACGCACCCAGGCGCCCTTCTACAACAGAGACCACAACAAAGCCTTCTCCGCAGCGCTTCGTGCTGACGCCTGTTTAGCCGTCTTGGTTTGTGTTTCTTTTAAACAAGTTTCAAATAAATATGTAAATAAATAAAATGCAGCATTTTAAAAAGAAAAAAAAGAAAAAATAAGGTAAAACAGCTAAATCGTTTTAGCAAGATGGCAATCACAAAATACAGATTTATTACTGGGGAAAAAAAGGTATCTAAGCATGTTGATTTCCCTGACCAAGGAGAACAAAATTAGGAAGAGGAGGAATAATTTAATCTCAAAAGGGGATTTATTATCCTCGGGTGCTTGAGAGATTTAGCATCCTACGAGTTTCAGAACGGAGTCCCTGAAGTAGAATTAAAAACCACTGTCACATTTATTCTTCTGGAATTGAAATGCATTAGCCAGTTCTCACTCTTTCCTCTCTAAAGAGGCAACAGGGATTGGAATCAATTAATGTTACATTCAGCTTATGTTTTGCTACCTAATGCAATATCTAGTGCAAGGGAGAAATGCAGATAATCTGTGTCTCAACTTCTACATTAAAGGATTGCATCCATTTCTCAGGTATTCCCTCCACTTATTAGTGTTATCTCAAAGCCACATATACCAATATCAACAATCTACCCAATGCATCCTTTATTTCAGGGGAGAACCTGGTATACCAGAACAGCAGCTCAATTCTACACATAAATGATTTTCCTCCGTAGATTAGTGCGATACATGAGCAGACTTTTGTCTGCTCATGTATCATACTAATCTACGGAGGAAAATGAACAAGGACATGCAAACTTATCTAAAACTAATGTGTGGCTCTTTACCCAAGGTCAGAACTTTGCCACGACATCTGGATCCCAAAGCACCCGTTACGATGCCTTTGTGCAAACTGGAATGTGAAACTAACTTCAGGTTGTGGGCTTCCATCCTAGTTTCTGCAATCCCAGTTACTCCGCCTCCTGGAGGTCACGCTAGCACCCAGATGAGCCTTGAACTGGGACAGAAAGGGGTATCATGAAAGTGATCGCATCTTTTCTGCAGCTAAAGATGGTCAGGTCAACAAAAAAGCCGTGTGGTTGGCAGCTTGCTTCCTAGAGACAGACCAAGGAAAGGGGATTTACTATTTGTAAAATAGTGTTATCGGTGCTTCTGGCCTTGGGAAAAAAAATCTACCCTTTGAATGGACGGGGGGAAAAAAATCAGAGACGTACAAGATCTACCTCTTCTGAAATATCCTTCACACCCTTTTCCATTCAGCTGCTTTCCGCTAAATTGTTGACCTTCGGTCTGGTTTATACTGCTTCAGATTGCAACAGGGATGGGCAGAAATCTGGAGAGTTGCTGGTATTGCGTGCCAACGTAATAAAAAGAACGCAACTTTCAGGAGCACGTTTAACCACTCTAAGGGTCTTAAGGGGGAAAGAAGATCTGGTTAGCGCAGAGGTGGGCAACTCTGCCCACTTTACGACCTGTGGACTTCAACTCCCAGAATTCCTCAGCCAAGAATTCTGGGAGTTGAAGTCCACAGGGGGTCAAGCGGGCAGAGTTGCCCACCCCTCTCAAGTTCTTGGGGTCCTTGCGTGTGTTCGGTTATAAACTTTACAAAAGGGAGGGGGGAAACAACCCTTAAAGATATTCTCCACAACTGAAAACATGACAAAAATACTGAAAAGATTCTGGCCACCCCCGAGGTTAAATCACCCAATTGCAAGCTCTCCAATTCCGGCGCTCGGATTAAAAGTCCATACAATTAATTAAGTAGGATTGAAATCCAATCAACACCCTCTCGGTGATTCATACCACACAACCCGGTGCATCCAATTAAGAGCTGATTCTCGCTAAATCCATTTTGGAGGCGACACCTGCGAATCTGGGTCAGCTTTTGGTTTTCTCTTGTTTTGAGTGGAATCTCTCGCAACTGGCAAATCCTATCAGGGCATAAAGATCTTTTGCCGGTTTGCAATGACCTTAGAACACCAGGGGCATTTTTCGACTGCCTCTGCACAGTCTTGGCAAGCCACGTGCCCGCAAGGAATGAGGACCATGGAGAGGGTCTTATCCATGCAGATCTTACAGATCTTTTCTTCCTCCAGACATTTCAGCTTCTCTTCTGTACTGAGATCTGCTGGGCGGAAAAAAAAGAGAGAGAGATTTCATGAGATACCTTATCCCAAAGGTGCTTTTTCCAGGAGGCAACTGGACTTTCTTGTCTTGCTTTGAAGATGTTTCGCTTCTCATCCAAGAAGCTTCTTCAGCTCGGACTGGATGGTGGGGAATGGAAGGATTTATACTCCTTGCAGACAGCCGGTCATTTGCATTCTTTTAGAGAGTCGTTGAAGCCACTTGGAGGCTTATCTGTGTCTTCAGAGTCCCCTGAGTAGTGCAAATGGGTGTGGAGCCTTCTTGGAGCTGCTGAAAGGACCGTGTTGTAGACTGGAGATAGATGATGTCTTATCCCTTCCCCTTCTGTTGAGAGAGGGCTGTTCAATTTTGACCTAGATGGCCTCTTTGGCCCCTCTTTCAAGCCAGATGTCCTCTCTGTGCCAAATATGGACTTTGCTGTCTTTGAAAGAGCAGCCTTTGTCTTTTAAATGCAGATGGACTGCTGAATCTTATCCTGATGGGTTTCTACTCCAGCTGTCTGCAAGGAGTATAAATCTTTCCATTCCCCCACCATCCAGTCAGAGCTGAAGAAGCTTCTTGGATGAGAAGCGAAACGTCTTCAAAGGAAAAACAAGAAAGTCCAGTTGCCTCTTGAAAAAGCAACTTTGGGGACAACCAGGACCTGGATGACGGAGGATCTCCATAGACATGAGATACCTTCATCAGGCACCATTAATTGTAAGAGTTAGCAACAGAGAACCTGCTGGACTCCCAGCAAGCGGGAGTCATCAAACTGGGATCTGCCATAAAACTTACAATTACAGGTAGCCCTTGACTTACGACCCACAATTGACCCCAACGTTTCTGCTGTTAAGCGAGACATTTGTTAAGCGAGCTTTGCTTCATTTTACAAACTTCCTGGCCAGGCTGTTAAGTGAACTCGGCTTCCCTCATTGACTTTGCTTGCCAAAAGGTCCCAAAAGGGGATCGCGTGACCCTCCGGGACGCCGCGACCGTCATAAATACGAACCAGTTGCCCAGTGTCTGAATTCGGATCACATGGTTGTTAAGTTGAGGATTCCCTGTCCATTTCGGGCATCAAGGCAAAGAGTTGCACGTCTCCAATCTTTCCAAGTTTGTAACACCTGACCCCCCCCCCAAACAAAGCTTCTGACCCCAAACTGAGTTTATCCTAATCCCTTCCTTGCGTAACATAATTGGGTTTAGTCTACACACAGGCACTGGGATCTACAACAATCACCTTTCTGCAGATAGTTTTCTAAATACATGCCGGGTGTATTTTCTCTCTGGGCCCCGATTAGGTCTGTGACCAGCGCCTCAACCGACCGGTAGCGCTCGGACGAAAGGCGGTACTTCCTCTCCACCATTTTGCTAATTTCCTCCGCGCTGAATCCCATTTGCAACGCGCTCTGGGTCACCTGGCTTTGCAGATGCTCTTCGTCTGCAAAATGAGAGACATAAAAAAACCTCATGAAAGCAAGACGACCCAGCTAGGAATGTTAAGAGCAGAGCTGCGTTCACATGTTACACGAAACTCAAAAATACAGGCCACCCTCAACTTAACAACGGTTCGTTTAAGTGACCGTACGAAGTTACCCTCGAAAAAGTGACTTACGGCCGTTTTTCACACTTACGACCGTTGTGGTCATGTGATCCAAATTGGGATGCTCGGCAACCGGTTCATATTTATGATGGTTGCTGTGTTCCCGCGGTCACGTGATCCCTACTTGCTCACGGCCACTCAAAGGCAGCTTACAGGAAATAAAAACATCGTATAAAAGAAATAAAAATAATAACAAAGTAAAAATAATAAAATAACCCATTCATTTAATTGATGAATAACGACAGGACAGACCGCTATATTCACTTCTACGCTAGGATCTCCAAACTATGCATTCTCGGGGATATAAAATCACTCCCTATTATTTCTGACAATGAGTCCCTATTATTAAATTAAAATAAGACGCAAAAAGGACTCTTTGTCTCCTTCTAAATAATCAATATATTCTAACTAAGGTCCAGCATTTTACTTATAGTAATTTTCTGGCTGCAAATTTAAAACATCCTAAGATCAGGTCAATACTTACATAGCACTAATTTACACTAATAGGCTGAAAGTTTTGCCAAATTAAACCAACCGCTGCATTTTTTTTTTTCCTTTGCAAAGCATTGGCAAACACAATTAGAAAAAAAAAATGCAGATTAAGCAATTGAGCAGATTTGGAATTGACTCACGATGACAGCAAGTAATTAAAACCGATCACAATGGGATACTTCAGAGTATATACTTACCTTCAATAGCTAAAACTTCCTCGGGCTCTTCTACCTAAATAAACAAATAAATGGTTTTTAGAATGTAGCACTGGATTAGGATCAAATTTCTGCGTGTGTCAATGTGTGTGAAAAACCTGATCGCGTGTCACAATCCGTAGCTTCTAGTTACAGTTTATTTATGCTGACCTATCTATCAACTTTACGGCCAAAAGCATTCTAGGACTTGAAGTCCACGTTATCTTAAAAGCCGTGGGGTTGAGAAATACTAGCTTGCAAAGTTACGTAATAATATTCCATTTAGGATGGGAAGGGGAGATGTGGTTTGAGGAAGGGGCTGAGCCAACATGTAGCTGATCTTACAGCACACAGCCAGATGGTCTCAGCTCCCCAGGAGAAACAACCCAGAGGAATTTTGCGAGGTGGTTGCAGGAATAAAATTCAGACAGGGGAGGAGCAGAGAGCAAAATGGTGGAAAGTGAACCGACAACAATATTCCAGAGCTGAGTTGTTGTTTTTTTCATCTAGGATTGCCTCTTGTGTATTAAGCATCAGGAACACTTTTGCAAGCAAAAAAGGTAATTTCCCCGTCACTCGTGTCGGATTCTAGGAAGCAGTGCTTATCTTGGTTTCTCAGCCAAGGGAACCAGCATTGTCCGGAGACATTTCTGCTATATGCCAAAGGTGCACAGAATGTTGTTACCTTCCCACTGAAGTGGTACCTATTTATCTACTCGCATTAGCATGCTTTTGAACCGCTAGGTCAGTGGTTCTCAACCTGTGGGTCGGGACCCCATTTGTGTCGATCAACCATTTCACAGGGGTCGCCAAGCAAGGCTGTCCGCCATTATTTTTGTCCGCCATTTTTTCCCCCTTTTCCGGCGGGTGCCTTACCTCCCTTGGGCTGGGCCAGCTGGTGGTCGGCCTGCTCCGTCTCTGCCGCTTGCCAGCTACGGCTCGGCCGGCGCAGGGGGCGGAACCACGCATGCGCAGCGCTCCCGGGCAGGGAAAGTCCTCGACTTACGACCGGTTGGGTAGTCCTCGACTTACGACCGGTTTAGTCCTCGACTTACGACCGGTTTAGTCCTCGACTTACGACCGGTTGGGGTCACGGCATTAAAAAGGTTGAGAACCACTGCGCTAGGTGGACAGGAGCTGGAGCATGGAACGGGAGCTCACCCCGTTGTGCGGTGCCAGGGTCTCAAACCTGGGCTGTCAGCTCTCCAGATGTTAATCTCAGCATCTTTAACGGCTGAGCCATTGTTCCCCCTTTTGCAAGCAGACGCTCCTAAACTTAAGGGGAATATTTATAGCTGACCTATAAATCTCTTAGGTCCTTCAATCCGGACTAGTGCATTCTCTTCTCTTCCTCCACCTCTGTCGTCTAAACAGGCAGATACACGCACGCACATACAGGGCTCCTGACACCCTCAAGTGACAAGTATCACAATTTTGCACTTGCCAATTCATTCCTGCGAGCAAATCGCTTAGACCGCTTGCCACCATCAACAGGAAAACAGGAATCAAGTCAGTTAAACGTGGCCTTTTCCGTGGCAGCAATTAACCTTTTCAGCTGCGGATGGGAACGCCATCTGCTCCCGGGAAGACAGCTGGAGAGACCACAGGATAGTAACTCCAGCCTTTCTACTAATTTAATTGGCTCGGCGCATGCATGATTTAAAATCCACATTCATCCGAAAACAAGAGTCCCTGCAGAGTTGGCTCGGGTGCATGGCGGAAGCAAAGGAAAAGGAGAGGGGGGGGGAAGAAGAGAGAAAGAAAAAGAGAGGGTGACAAAGAAAGAGAAAAAAGAGAAAGAGGGAGGAAAAAGAGAGAAAGAGAAAGAACGATAGATAGATAGATAGATAGATAGATAGATAGATAGATAGATAGATAGATAGATAGATAGATAGATAGATAGGAAGGAAGGAAGGAAGGAAGGAAGGAAGGAAAGAAGGAAGGAAGGAAGGAAGGAAGGAAGGAAGGAAGGAAAGTTGGTTCTGGATCATCTCCCCATTTCCTTCTTTCTTTGTACATTCCTGCAGGGAGGAAAAGAATATTCTGGAAGCTGCTGGTAATGGTGCCTGTGTCTCTGTGGGGCTGGTGGCCAACATTGCANACAATAGATAGATAGATAGATAGATAGATAGATAGATAGATAGATAGATAGATAGATAGATAGATGATAGATAGATAGATAGATAGATAGATAGATAGATAGATAGGAAGGAAGGAAGGAAGGAAAGAGAGAGAGGGGGGAAAAGAGAGAAAGAAAAAGAGGGTGACAAAGAAAGAGGAAAAAGAGAAAAAGAGGAAAAAGAGAGAAAGAATGATAGAAAGAAAAAGAAAGGAAGAAAGGAGAGGAGAGGAGAGGAAAGGGGGGAAGAAAGAAAAAGAGGGTGACACAGAAAGAGGAAAAAGAGAAAGAGGGAGGAAAAAGGGAGAAAGAATGATAAAGAGAAAGGAAAAAGAGACAGAGAAATAAAAAACAAAGGAAAAAAGAAAGAAAGAAAGAAAGAAAGAAAGAAAAAAAGAAAGAAAAAAGAAGAAAGAAAAAAAGAAGAAAGAAAGAAAGAAAGAAAGAAAGAAAGAAAGAAAGAAAGGAGGGAAGGAGGGAGGGAGGAAGGAAGGAAGGAAGGAAGGAGTCTCTTTCCAAAAAGAGAGACACTCTGAAAAGGCAGACTTACAGTTGATTCCTGTGGCAAAGGCTTTAAATGAACTCTGTTCACAAAAGCCTGTCCTTTTTCTTCTCCCAGGTATTTGCACCTAGGTACAAAACGTTGCAACAAAATGAGCCAAGCTGAAGGCACATGAACAAAGCAATCATCTAATACACACATTACACTTAAGTTAAGTTTTCCTTGGGGAGCTAACCACCCTGAACTGAACCCACACGACCCAGGGTGCCCTCAAGCGGCTTGGATAGGCTGGGCATACCTTCAAAACTGGATTCGGAAGAGGTCTGATGAGCTGACCTCAGCATCTTTTGGCTGTTGACAAAGCTTTTCCCCCAAAGCATCCTTATGAACGTTAAGGAGTAAGGACTCCTGCCTTGGGCCGGGGTGTAGACTAGATGACCTCTAACGCCCTTCTAGCCCTACGATTCCATGAGCAGCTTTTAATGCAAACCACTGGCTCTTTAAAGCAGCCTCCCCTTTTCTACCGCTCACTCGCAGCTGTGGTTCCATCACACCTGCCAGAGTTGTCCAGCCTAACAGAGTTGGAAGGGACCTTGAAGGTCTTCTAGTCCAACCTTCTGCTCAAGCAGGAAGCCCTAACCCCCTTTTCAGACAAATGGTTATCCCATCACTTCTCAAAAGCCTCCAGGGATGGGAGCATCCAGAACTTCTGGAGGCATTCATTCTTCTCGCTCTCAGGAAATTTCTCCTGAATTCCAGGTTGCTTTTCTCCTTGGTTGGTTTCCATCCATCGTTTCTCATCTTGCCTTCTGGTGCTTTGGAGAATAGCTTGACCCCCTCTTCTTTGGGGCAGCCCCTCAAATACTGGAACACTACTATCATGTCACCCCCTAATCCTTCTTTTTAAACTAGACTAGACACACCCGATTCCTGCAACCGTTCTTCATCTGTTTTAGCCCCCAAGCCCTAATCATCTTGGGTGCTCTTCTCCACACTCTAGAAAGAGTCCAACGCTTTCCACCTCTGACACATCTGGATTTGAATATCCCTGAGCTAAGGATCTGGTAAACCACTGGTGGCAAACCTATGGCACGGGTGCCAGAGGCGGCACTCAGTGCCCTCTCTGTGGGCACGCGCGCCGTCGCCCCAGTCCTAGGCCTTCAGCTGGGTTTTATAAAAACTTTTCGCTTTAGGCTTCCGCCGCCGTGTGCAAAAAAAAAAAAAGGTTCAATCAATCAATCAATTTCAACTTCTCGTGTGAAAAAAAAAGATCTTGCAAAGTTGGAATTGATTGATTGAACTTTTTTTTTTATTGAAAATTTTATAAAATTTTACAATATAAATCCCCCCCTTCCCCAACCCACCCCTCCACTCCCCCCTCACTCCCCCCTCACTTCCCAGTGCCAATCACAGGGTTAACAATAAAATAATCATACTCTAAATAACATTAATCAACTATTAAAATAACATCTATAACATCCTTTAACTCTCTTTTAAACCAATATATACAGTTACTAAAAACAATAATAATAACATCACTTTAATAATGATTATTTTTGATTGATTGAACTTTTTAGTCCCACCCAGTCTGCCGTTACCACCGCAACCACGCCCACCCAATGGGCCACACCCACCCGGCACCCGACGATGCGTAAGTGGGTTTTAGGTTGCAGTTTGGGCACTCGGTCTCTAAAAGGTTCGCCATCACTGTGGTAAACAATATTTGCAAAACAACCCTGAGCCCAAGATAGAATCTGAAAAAAATGAAATGTTCCTACCCCGGATACCATCTTGCATGTTCCTCCCATGGATCCTCACCAGTCTTCCATTCTTTCAATCCGCCGCCGCAGGAGAAGCATTCCACACCATCGCCGATACCTGGGGGGAGAAAAACATCTTTTTTTTCACAAAAATAAGCTCTTGTCTGCAACTCTAGATAGTCCTTGACGAGACAAACAGTTCATTTCATGACCGAAGTTACAACATCACTGGGGAAAAAAAAGTTGACTTAACGATCGTGTTTCACACTTACAGCCGTTGCAGCATCCCCGAGATCACGTAATCAAAATTCAGGCAACTCGTACTTAGGACGGCTGCAGCGTCCCGGGGTCAGGCCATCCCATTTCATGACCAAGTCCGTGGGGAAGCCAGGTTCGCCCTTAACCGTTATTAAATTTGATAACTGCAGTGATTCGCTCAACCTCTGTGGCCAAGATCGTAAGATGGGGCAAAATTCACTTAACGACGGTGATATTTGGGGCTCAATGGTGGCCATTAAGCCGAGGACTATCTCTAAGGCGCTGTGTTGGGCTTGGCAGGGTGGGATTTATTTATTTATTTATTTATGTATTAAATTTATATACCGCCCTATCTCCCTTGCGGGACTCAGGGCGGTGAACAGGCGATACTAAAAACCACGATAATAAATAAATAGTTTCTGTTCTGAAATCGAATTAAATAACAGGCCTGTTCTAAAAACACACCCATACAAAAAAACCCCACTGAAACATAATCAAACTACGCCAGGCCGGCCGCACGGAATAAATGGGCCAGCCAAGGAGACCCAGCCTTTACTTACCTACGCTGTAGAAGCCTGCTTGGGCAAGCCTCTCCTTGCTCATGGAGTAATTCCACACCCCGAAAGTCTGGAGGCGCTTTGCAAAATCTGCCATTGAGGGGTTATGAGCAACAGGAGGAGGAGGAGGAGGACGTGGTGGCACCCAGTGGGTGTTGCTTCTGTCCAGCTGTGCATCCCCTGGTAGATTTGCAACAGTCCCAATATTTCCCACATCGTGTCCGAGGACAAAAAAGCATCTCGGGAAATGGCGACGGTGTTCCGACCAAGCCTGGTCCCCCATTTCCCAGTTTTTCAACTTGCCCCCACAACAAAAGCACTCCACTTCATCCTCCACCCCTCGGTAATAGAGTCCAGCGTTGGCCAGATCCTCCGGGGTGACCGGCGTGTAAGGAGGCCAGGAGTGAAAAGATCTCAGCCGGGCCTCTTCGTTGCACATGGCCGGATTCTGGGGATACGGGGAGCCCGAGAGATCCACCACCTGCCCGGTTCTCAACAAGTAATCGGCCTCCAAATCGGAAGACAGATTGGCATTTGGTGGGACGGAGCTGGTGGCTTCTCTTCCAGGAGGACCGTTTGGGAGACCGGAAAGGAGATGATGCTCTTCGAAGTTGCCATCGTTGACGATCCGGCAGTTTGGAGAAACATTTTTGTGCCTTCCAATCACCGAGTCTCCCTCTTTCCATCCTTCTAGGGTTGCAAGGCAGCTGAAGCATCTGACTTGGTCTCCTTTCCCAGTGTAGAAGAAGCCCGCCTGGGCTAGTACCGAGTAAGGAACGGGACAGTGTCTTGGGAAATTGACAAAGGTTCCTAGTCTGGAAGTCAACCAAGCCAGGTTTTGGGCAGGGTCCTCCGAAACGGGGCCATTGCACGTCATCCCTCTTGAGAAAGGAGTCTCCTGCCGATTTCCTAAATAAGCAAAACACATGCATGGTTAGCAAGAGAGCGACGCTACAAAGATAATAATAATAATAATAATAATAATAATAATAATAATAATAATAATAATAATAATAATAATAATAATAATAATAGTAATAAAGTTGGAAGGGACCTTGGAGGTCATCTGGTCCAACTCCCTGCTCAGGCAAGAAACCCTACACCATTTCGGACAAATGGCTGTCCAGTCTCTTCTTAAAAACTTCCAGTGTTGGAGCATTCACCGCTTCTGGAGGCAGGTTGTTCCACTGGTTAATTGTTCTCACTGTCAGGAAGTTTCTCCTTAGTTCTAGGTTGCTTCTCTCCTTGATCAGTTTCCCTCCGTTGCTTCTTGTCCTGCCTTCAGGCGCCTTGGAGAATAGCTTGACTCCCTCTTCTTTGGGGCAGCCCCTGAGATACTGGAAGACTGCTATAATGTCCCCCCCCGTCCTTCTCTTCATTAAACTAGACAGACCCAATTCCAGCAACCGTTCCTTATACGCTTTAGACTCCAGTTAGTAGGACATCACTGGAAGGCAAAAGCGCACAAAACTGTGTCGCACTTATTCTGGCCGTGTCCAAATTCACCGGAGAAAGCAATTAAGTTGGGAAGAGTTAGAGACAGAAGGGGACCAGGCTGTCCAAGAACACAGTGTGGCTGGACACCATCAAAGCTGACACCAACCAGAGGGCAGAAGAAGTCAAAGAAGTATCACAAGATCATAAGATAGAATCTCCAAGAGTTGGACACGACTGAATGGATAACATCAACATAGTAGGACATCTTTACGGCACCTTGAACGTGGCATGGGTCCAGGCTACCTATGAAACTGTCTTTGTCCCATTACAGAATAACAAGAGTTGGAAGAGACTCTGGAGGTCTTCTAGACCAGGGGTCCCCAATCCCCGATCCGTGGACCGGTACCGGGCCGCAGCATGCCTGCAACTGGTTCGCACAAACAAGCAAAGCCCCGTCCGCGGGATGCAGGCAGCACACAAAACCACGCACTCCGCGGAACCGGTCCCTGGTGCCCCAACCCTCTGCTCAAACAGGAAGCCCTACACCATTTCAGACAAATGGTTGTCCAACCTCTTCTTGAAAACCTCCAGTGTTGGAGCACCCACAACTTCTGGAGGCAGGTCGTTCCACTGGTTAATTGTTCTGATTGTCAGGAAATTCCTCCTTAGTTCCAGGTTGCTTCTCTCCTTGATTGGTTTCCATCTGTTGCTTCTCGTCCTGCCTTCAGGTGCTTCGGAGAACACATTACCTCTCCCATC